CTAGGGTTTGCCAATCAGAAGGTCGGCAGTTCGAATCCATGCGACAGGGTGAGCTCCCGTTGCTCGGTCCCTACTCCTGCCAACCTAGCAGTTCGAAAGCACGTCAAAGTGCAAGTAGATAAATAGGTACCGCTCCGGCGGGAAGGTAAGCGGTGTTTCCATGCGCTGCTCTGGTTCACCAGAAGAGGCTTAGTCATGCTGGCCACATGACCCGGAAGCTGTACGCCGGCTCCCTCGGCCAATAAAGCGAGATGAGCACCGCAACCCCAGAGTCGTCTGCGACTGGACCTAATGGTCAGGGGTCCCTTTACCTTTAAACCCTGAAAAAGGAATATCCCAGGGATGGAACTAGAGAGGCTAGACTTAGGCTGGATACCAAGCCGTTTCAGTTCTGTTATGTGACCACACAACCCAGCATAAGTTAAGATGGCAAAAAGGGTGGTGTAACTAAAACACAGTTTTAGGCTTTCCCCCCCTCTGCAGGGCTTAGGCCAGCTCAGGCTGCAGAGTTTGGATCTGGTGCAACATTAGGCTGGCTTAATTTACACTGGCCTGCTTTTTATAGAAGCTTCTTGTGTTTAGGATCGTTCCCTGAACATGGCAGGATCAGAATGACCACAACCATCAGAAGAACTGCTGTGATGGAAATATAGGTGTTAAAGTTTCAGGTGTTTCATTGCAGAGGAAAAATAAGGGTGATCAGGGTTTTCTCGAAGCACCTATGCATTTGCAACACTGACTTTGCAGAACAAATTATCACTTTCACCCCAGACTATTTAAGGGATAAAGAAGGGGTTTCCTTGAAGTTCCTCTACATGTTTGTGAGGTTTTTGGTTGTTGTTGTTTAAAACATAGCAATGATCTTAGCTCTTGTTGAAGTCAGTAGCAACATTCCCATTAACTGCCATGTGGCCAGGATTTTGCACCTGGAAACTTGGCTGGCAGTTTGGAAGCCCAGGGAGAAGCCTTTCAGGGTTTCAAGAGGTGCTACTCCAGCATTTTCTGTCTCCGCGCAGGTCTGAAAAGGGATCACTCCGTTCTGTATTTTTTAACAAGAGTCCTAGTCTCTGTTACACCTGGGAAGGTGATATTTCACATGGGGCTGTAATTGCAGAAACTCAAACTAAATGCAGACACTTCAATCACAATAGGAGAGATCAGGCAGCAGTGCCTGCCTCATCCCCGCTGAGCAGCAGCTGGAGAGAGTCTGGCGTTTTAACTATGTGTGTTCCAGCGCTAGTACTTGACTGTTCCATGACACAGGCATAGGAAACAGCTCCAGGGGGCTGTGGGTGCTTGGGCTCCCACCATAATATAATTGTGGGGGCCAGGCACCCACAAAGTCAATGAGCAAAGCCAGAAAGAGGCAGCCAACCTGTGTGGCGCCGCTGCCTCCGAGAGAAAAGCAGCCAGCGAGCGAGGGACCCTTTTGGGGAGATGGGGGGCTTTATGCCTCTGAGTCCTACCCATGGATAAGGGTGCCTTGCTGGCTGCAGAGAGGAGGAGGAGCCCCCCCCAAAAAATGACACAATATTGCACGCCGTGCATGTGATGTCACACACTCCTTGCAGAGATGGCACCCCTGGACACAGGAGAGGACTTTTGAGACTGGTACAATAACATAAATATTCGTATAGGCCTTGCTAGCCACTGAAATGTCCCTGCACTAGTATGGTGATGGGGCAACCTCAGAAATCCCCCATAGTGCCTGCCAAGGCCCTCTACCCCTTCCAACTTTAACAAAAAAATTATGTGGGATTTGTTGTTGTTGTTCGGCAAGGTGTGCGAGGGATGCTACCTGCTTTTTTTTTTTTTGCAAATTTTCTTCTGTGATGTAGGTATTTAGTGATGCTCATGAGAGCTTCTCAGATTTTCAAACACGCCCCTGTGCCCCACAGGTTTGTGGCAGGCCCTCTGCCCAGATAGGCAGGAGCTCTTCAAAGTCTCAGGCAGCAGTTTCTCCTAGACAGGGGCGACTCTACTATGTGGCAGAGTGAGGAAGCATATTTAGGATGTGATGAAAAGGCAGCGGTACTTGTGGAACGGACTCCTTCAGGAGATGGTGGACTCTCATTCGTAGGAGCTTTTTAAAGAGGGGCTGAATGACCATCTGTCATGGGTGCTGTAGTTGAGATACCTGCATTGCAGGGTGTTGACCCTCAGGTTCCCTTCCAACTCTACAATTCTAGGATTTTCCATCTCAGGTGCTAAAATAGGATGGCACAGCATCTAAAATCAGTTTCTTGCTTTGCTAATAGAAGCACTGCCTAGTTTCTCCTGATTCAGCCTGTCAAGGAACTGCCTATGACAGTGCTTCCTAATTAGCTAAGTATTATGGACCCCATTTTTCAAAAGCCAATGTTTGTGCTTTCAGTGATGAGGAAGCAGCCATGGTTAATGCCATTTGTCCCCAAGAGACCTTGCTGCAGCCTGATAGGAACAAAGTGGTTGGGATCACACCTCTTCTCTCCCCCCCCTTCCCAACCCAGTGGGCCAAAAGGGGAGGGACCAATCGCTCTGGCAAGAGATGATGATGAACAATTTTATTTATTACTCGCCCTTCACACTAAGGTCCCAGGGCAGGTTACAGCAAAACACAACATTTAAAAACAAGTTGAAACAATTTACAATCACAAAAATAAGGCTGGACCTAAAAATACTGTATTTACACAAATTTAATGCACCATTGAATCTAATGTGCACCTCAATTTTCAATACCTTGGAACCAAATAAATAAATAAATAAAAATTGCTGGCACCATCAAGTCTAATGCACCCCTTCATTTTTGCGATGTGATTTGGCCCCCAAAAGGGGCACGTTACATTCGAGTAAACATATCAAACTGTTTGCAGATGGCTTTTGAAATTAGCCTGAGGATCATATGCAAACCAGTCTAAGGGTTGCCCATTTCTGCTTTAGAAGCAAGTTGCTGCACAGCAACAGATATGTTAGTAGGTTACCACTAGTTTTAATGACACTCTCCCACCCTTAGTGCAACACTCACAATATTGATTCATGCTTCTGGTGCTCTTCCTTTAGAGCTGTCTTACGCTATTTTATTTGCATATTTCTCACATTTACACACTCATCCTTCCTCCAAGGAATTAAAGGCAGCAGCCATGCAGGTTATAGGCCGCTGGTTGGCCACTGTGAGAACAGGATGCTAGGCCTATGGCCTGCTCCAACACAACTCTCTGTTATTAAAGTAAAGGTAAAGGTACCCCTGACCGTTAGGTCCAGTCACAGATGACTCTGGGGTTGCGCGCTCTGGGGTTGGCTATAGGCCGAGGGAGCCGGCCTTTGTCAGAAGACACTTCCAGGTCATGTGGCCAGCATGACTAAGCCGCTTCTGGTGAAACCAGAGCAGTGCACGGAAACACTGTTTACCTTCCCACCAGAGCGGTACCTATTTATCTACTTGCACTTTGACTTGCTTTCGAACTGCTAGGTGGGCAGAAGCTGGGACAGAACAATGGGAACTCACCCCATCACGGGGATTTGAACTGCCAACCTTCTGATCAGCAAGCCCTAGGCTCTGTGGTTTAGACCACAGTGCCATCCGCGTCCCATCTCTCTGTTATTAGGTCATCCCATTTATCCTATCTAAAGATTGACTGAGCCAAAATCTCTTTGTTAACTTCATGGAAAAGAAGGGATCAGACGCATGTCTCCACAAGGCTACATAAAACACTACACCGGTTGGGGACTATGATATGCTGAAAATCTGTGCCTGTACCTTAATCACTCCAGTAAGTGTTGGCATAGTTTAGTGCAAAAGTTAGAGTATAAAACAAGGGCCTGGGACATAAAGGTTCAAATCCACACTAAGCTATGAAGCTCATTGGGCAAGTCATTTTCTCTCAGCTTAACCCTACCTCACAGGGATGCCATGAGAATAAAATTGACAGGTGGAAGACCACGCATGCCACTTTGGGCTTGGAGAAAAGGTGGGGTATAAGAAAATAAACAAATGTGTCATTTATAGGCATTAATAGCCCCGCTGGTACTGCTTTGAAAAAGAGCACCTGTTGCATACACAAAGACCCTACTCCAAACCCTGACTTTAGAAGCAAGTCCAAGAGGGATATGCTCGTGAGCTTGGGGGCATCACAAGGTTTGAAGAAGCACAGGTAGACTGGGATCATAAACCCTCAACCTAAAAAAACCCCATTCATTCTAGATCAAGCATCTCCCCTGGGTAAAAAATACTGTCTATTGGGCAGGAGAATGGGAAAACAAGGGAACTGGGAACTGGGAATGGAGTATCGTAGGGATGGGCATGGCTGGCAGAAATCCTGAACAGAAATCCTCCACACTGGAACATTTTGTTACAGCAAAACCAAATACCTAACAGTGCATTTTATTGTAAGCCATTCTGACACACACACCCTTTTAAAGGTCCAAATAGCAGGCTACAAATGTGTTTGAAATCAATATAAATATAAGTAAATAAATGTGGAACGTATGTATTGGCTTCTGCGGATGTGAGACCAAACCACTAGCGGAGAAGAATAATGAACAAACACAATAACAATATATCATATATTGATATATATTGTGATATATATGTATCACAGTGGAGGGGGGGAACCTTTCCTTTTGGGGCATGTATGACGTGCAGTTTGTGATCCCAATCCCCCCTCTCAAGCATCTCTCTAAAACAAGGTGGGCGATTCATTATTCTAGCCTATGCTACTCATAGCATTAAAATGCTAAAATTGAGGGGGAGGGTAATTCTGTCACACACACACACACACACACACACACGCCTCCAATTATCTTTTCCACCACAAGATGTTTCTTCTGTCCATGACTGCTCACACTTCAGCAATCTTGCCAGCAAGCTTCAAATAATGTATTTTTTTTTTTAAAAAAAAGAAAACCCTTTTCCAAAGCCACAGGCATGAACACAACAGCTTGAACAGGCCTAGTGCCTAAGGGGGGGTTAGAGGTTCCTCTATGTAAAGAATGACACTTAAAAACTTGCCAGGATTTTGCAGGCGTGCAGAATTTTTTTTTATTAAAAAAACAACAAATAACACACAAACACCCTTTGGGTGTAAACTCCATTTGCCTGGCTGAGCGTTGGAGGCCTCCCCTCGCAGCCCAATCAACGGCCTCCCCCCTTTTTTTCCTTGGTGGCGGAGGGAGGTTGTCCCAGGTGGATCGACAAGGGAGGCAAGTTTTCTGCCTGGAGGAGAGAAAGAGGGAGGGAGGGAGGGAGGGAGGGAGAGAGAGAGAGAGAGAGAGAGAGAGAGAGAGAGAGAGATGTGTGCCGGGGCTGGGAAAGCGGGGAGCCTTGCAAGGCAGCTGCGTTGCCCTTTTCCTGCACTCCACTCCTCCAAACGTCTGAGCAACCAGTTTGCTGCGAGAAACATGTTAATTGCCAACGGAGCTCATTAAGGCATGCACATGCAAAACACAGCGAGGGAGATTAAATGGACAAAAGCGCAATAATGAACTGTCAACAATCGAGCCCATCTACAAGACCAGGAGCACTCAAGAATGAGGCATTTAGAGGCAACAAAGGATTGTCTGGGACAGGAAGAAAGGACGACCTAGACTTTTGTTGAGTCAACACAATTGATTACAAATGAGAGATTAACAGGATAGCTTCGGAGTTTTTTTTTGAAGGAGGTAGAAGAGAAAAGTCCAATTAAGTCCACCGAATGTTAACTACATCGCTTTTTCCACCAGTCCCAGCCCCGCAGAAATTCTCATTAAACCATCCCTGGCGATCCCCCTTTTTGGAAAGTAATTTGTCTCCCTGATGGAGCAGAGAAAGGAGGAGAAAGAAGCGCGAGTTCTTGGCACAATGAGCTTAGGAGACACACTGCAAAGAGCCAAAGGGGGAGTTAATGAGCATCTGACAAGCCGCTTGGATCTAGGCCTGGCAGAACAGTGATGAAAAGATGGAATTGGCCAACAACTATTCTTTAGATCAAACATAAAAAGGCCAATCTCAAACAGGCCTGCTCAAAGCTGGTGGGGAGAAAGAAAAGAAAAGCCCCCACTGTGGGGATGGAGTGCAGCCCTCAACTGCCCCCCCCCAAATCAGGATGGGAAATGCATTGGCATGTCCTGCCCCTGCCCCCTCACCCCCCACCCCAATTGCTGAAGGGCCCATCCTTAAGCTCCACTCCCCTGTCCTGAGCAATGCACTCCAAAGCTTTCCAATTAGGGTATGAATGGGGATTTGCGGACCCACTGCATTTTGGGGAGAGATAATAAAATTCATACACTGTTTTTTAAAACCGTCCCTAAGTGTTGGAGATTAGGGTGAGGTCTTAGGAGGGGCAAGGTTTCCCCATCATTTACCGCTGCTAGATTTCTCTTAAGCCCCAGGAAGGCGGTGGGCATCTTGGGTCTGGTAGGGTTGGATTAACAGGTAAAAAGATATGAACAGGTAGGCACTGTTTATTTTGGGGACAGGGAGAGGAGAAGGGGCACTTTGTCATCCTTCTTCACCTAGTAGGTCTGGAGCAGGGGTCAGCAAACTTTTTCAGCAGGGGGCCGGTCCACTGTCCCTCAGACCTTGTGGGGGGGCTGGACTATATTTTTTGGGGGGAAATGAAAGAATTCGTATGCCCCACAAATAACCCAGAGATGCATTTTAAATAAAAGCACACATTCTGCTCATGTAAAAACACCAGGCAGGCCTCACAAATAACCCAGAGATGCATTTTAAATCAAAGGACACATTCTACTCATGTAAAAACACGCTGATTCCCGGACCATCCATGGGCCGGATTGAGAAGGCGATTGGGCCAGATCCAGCCCCCAGGCCTTAGTTTGCCTATCCATGGTCTGGAGTCTGAAGCGCCATTTGTTCTGTTTGTGGACTGTGCCTGCATTGAATCTGGCTTTGCTGTTGGATACTCTTGACAACAATAAAAATTCCCCGTTTTTATGAAGACCTATAGCTACCTATTCAGCAGAGGTGAGGAGGATCTGTCAGTCTCCAGATGTTGGGGGCTGCAGCTCTCATGACCATGCTGGCTGGGGTTGATGGAGGCCAACATCTGGAAGGCCACAAGTTCTGCACCCTATGTAATTCCTGGTAGCCCCTGAAGAATGACCAGGGTCTCCTCCTCCCCCAGGCACCTGGATGATGGTTATGACTGGTGTGGGTGCCCAAACAAGGTCCTTCTATGGATCTTCCAGCTCTTTCTTTATTGCCCCCTGGAGCAGGCAAGGCCAGAGCTAGCCATCCGAATGGTGACTCTTTCAAGTGCCGTAATTTCCCATGGACCAAAACGACTTTCTCATCAACGCACCCCCACGAACCGAAAAGCTGGTATTTACCACATCAGGGAGCCTGTTTGTTCTCAAGCTTTCCCACTGCAGTGGTAAACACCATCTGTCACCAGGTATGTATGTGGGGGAGGAGTGTGTATATATACACACACAGACACACACGTACCTGCCACATGAAACTGACGAGGTAAAATCATCTCATGGTGAAAATTACCAAGGGCCAATGGGGATTTCTCTTGAACTCTTCAGCTCTTCATCCGCAAAGGCATAGCTATGAGTAGCTGTTGGTACACATCTGAAACGTGGGTGAGCTCCCTAGTCACTCCTTTGCTAACCTAGGATCTGCATTGCTGGATGAGTGAGCAGGTGCACACATGTTCCCAATAGCAGCTCCTTGTGAATGCTACCTGACCCTGATGGAGGTCTCTGTATGTTCCCAAAGTGCAGCTACAAGCACAAATCAATTCAGTATGTGCCCAGAACAAATGTAGAGAAGGGTCTAAAAAGAAGGAAGGAAGGAAGGAGAAGGCAACCTATATAGATAGTGAAGGGTTGAAGCAAGGAGCCTCGTCACTGGCTCCGAAGGAAGACAGAAAATCTCCTGTCACATGATATAGGGACAGATTTCTTCTTACCTCTCAGATCATTATGGATTAATCCCTGACTAATAAAAAAGCAAGATTGGTTGCTTCATCTCATTGCAGTCTTTCTCTACAACAACTGCATGACATCACAGCACCCATTGTTCCACCTCCTGTTGTGACCATAGCAGAATGTGTACCATGAAGAGTCCAGGAGTGCTTTGTACAGCAGAAGACTCTGTACCTGTCCACTTTCCCCTAGAGAATGTTCTGACATTGGTATTTATTTTATACTTGGAAATGGAATGGTTTTGCGAGTTTATTCCACCTTCATTCTTTTTGTTCCATTTTTTCCCCTCGTTGGCCTCCTGCATTCTCCTTAATTTAATAGTGCTGGACTTGCTGATACATATCCCTGAAAGTACTGTCATACTGCTCATCACTGCGGTATGGATTCCTGTTTGGCGTACCTATAGTTCTGTGGATTAGTAGATTGGGGTGGGGGTGGAGATGGCAGCAAAGCTGGTGTCAATCCAAATTCTCCCACTTGCCAGTTGTGATAAGAAAATCTACTACAACAATACTTTTTTAAACAAATGCAGACTTGGGGATATGTACACAGAGGCAAGTGGCACCTGCACATGTGAGCACATATGCGGGTACTCGGTGCATCTTTATCCAAAGAGTTTAAAAATATAACATGAACACAAAACCACCCTTTTATCCTAGGGTGTGTGAATAGGTATGCATGGAATAAAAATAAAAATGTGGGCAGTATTTCACAGTAGGCAGCCTTTAGCATAATTGAAACGAAACAAAACAAAACAAATGCCGCCACTCAGAATGAGAACACACAAGCTACATATATCCACATGGGAAATTATGTTATACTGAGCCAGACCAGTTGGTCTATCTGGCCCAGTATTGTCCATTGCAGGGATGGGACCCTGTGGTTTCCCAAAGGTTGTTGGACTCCCATTATCCTTCACTGTTGACTATTTTGACTGGGGTGGATGAGAGTTAAAGGACAACAACACCAAGTTTGTGTTTCACAGGTTTCCCATCCCTGGACTACTCCAAGGTCTCAGACTGACAACTTTGCCATCATGGTACCAAAGATCCTTGGAGGAGGATGTCAGGGATTTAACTGGGAACTTTATGGATTCAAAGCACAGCCTCTCCTACAGAGCTATGGCTCCTCTCCATATCCCCAGCTCCAAAGGTTGATGCTCTTTTAGTCAGTAATGCTGGATAGGAGAAATCAAATACAGGGTGACCAGGGGTTCTACCTTCTTCTTCCAACTGAGATGAGAGGGAGGATCATATTCTGCATGACCACATCAAGGAACACAAGAGCTCTCTGGCTTGATGGCTGAAGAGGGCTCTCACACATAGAGATATTGCTGGTGGTATCTGGTACCCATTGGTTATTGGTGGGGCAGAAGGCAGGGAGACCAACCTTATATGGAGCCAGTGCCAGCAACAGGCAGAGCCAAAGAATTCTAGTTTTGTCCCCATCCTCCTCTCTGCTGAGTTCTACAAAGGGCAACACTGAGACTAAAGAGGAGGAGGATGAAGAAGACTAGAAGTGCTGCCATATGGACTAGTTGAAGTAAGCAGGTAGGCAGGAGGGGACTGGCTGGGGACAGATTGAGGTTGGTGGGGCAGTGCCCCATTTGACCTAGTGGTCCACCCTCCAGTGAGGTCTGAGCAAGGTCAGTGGGCACTGAATGCTGTCTATTGGGTGGGGGAGGAAAGGTGGTAAAAGGGAAGGGGGTATCCTGAAAGGTATGGCTAAGTGGGTAGAACACAGATCATGAGGATGCTACACCACCACATTTTAGCCCTATTCACATATTGTTCATGTGCTCATTACTATGATGACTATGGAGTGGGGCTGCGCTTCTAGTTCTACCCCCCCCCCCCCACACACATCACATTTCCTTCTGCACATTGCCTGAAGTGAAAGGCCACCCTCTTTCAGCAGGGGCAAGAGAGCCTTAAGGCTTGTAGGAGGATATTCTTCAGAAGAAAAACTAAGTGCGGAGCACCAAAAACAGCCCAAGCACATCTTGGGCAGGAAGCAAGCCATCCTTAACTGTGACCCTTTGGCTGCTGTCCATACACGTGACTGGCTGCTAATTTTTCTTATGCACTGGATTTTCAGGCACAGTTCCAGTGATGAGAAAGCCTGCCTCCTCTCCAGTGGAGGCCAGCCAATTAGGGCAAACAGGGCACTGTCCCTCCAACCCTCACACTGGCCTAGAGAGTGGTACAGGCTGCCATCTTCGTCCTTTCAGTGTTGCCCTTGTAGTGTCCAGCAGGGAGGAGGATGGGGACGAAGCTGGAATTTGCTGGCTCCGCCTGTCACTGGCTGTGCTGTCACCTACTGTTGAGTTCCATGTTTCTGCCCTACCACTCCCAATGGGACACTGGGTCCCAGGATTCACTGAGAGGGTGCAATGCATTCCTTTGTGCAGCAGAGACACATATTGAACCCTGCAGGGGTCCTGGCAATATGCAAGTCCTCCCCCCCCCGCCCAATTCCACCCATGATATTGGAAATAATTTTGCTAGTATAATTGGAAGTGGGGGCACCATGTGGCTTCTTAAAGCCAACTGATACAGGAAGGAGGGCACCAGAGACCCTTTGGTGTCATATTATTTTAAAAAAATAAAATCTCGTGAACTGCCAAGATGACTCTTTCCACTTCCTTCCCTGCCTGCTTTTTGGCAGTCGTCAAGCCGTTCTGCAGAAATAGCTTTTCATGTCTAACCAGCCTCTTCCTTCTGATTCATTTTGTTAACAAACTGGGGATGTCACTAGCCTGGATTGTGCCATCGCTGAAGGCATCCAGCGCAAGGAGAAAGAGGAGGCTGACTGCAGGCAAAAAAGCACAATTGTACCCAATGAGTGACTTGGCAATCAAATACTTGGGGGTGAGGACGGGGGAAGAGAAAGCGTCTGGAAATCAGAACAGTGTGGGTCAGCACTGGCTCTTCAAGCACATTCTAAATACAGTTCATAGACGACACAGAGGAACAGTGACAGACTTCATTTCATTCAAGCACCAAACCAGTTTTGAGAGATTAGGTCTCACACAGTTTTTTTGCTATGGGTATTTTTCTCCTCCTTCCAAGGAAGCACAAAGGCTAGCTGATCTCTCGTTTCCTTTGAGTTGTCATTGCTATTAAGTGATTAAGAATATACAATACCTCTTGGGTCTCTCTCTCTCTTATTATCTGGCATACAGTTTCAGGTTTATGTCTGCAAAACCGCAAGAGAAATAATTTAACTGGATAGGCTGGTAAGACACAGTTTAAAAGAAACCTGTCCGTTTTTGGAGGGAAGGTGTTATTGGTGACATAGTAGTAGGGAACTTGGGAACTAAAAAAATTGACTTGTTATCTTGGACAGATACATACTAACTGTACATTATCAATCAGTTATGATGAATTCATATGAAATGGAAAATGATCCTTCATGGCTATGCAATGTTTAGAAGCGAAGCAGCTATTGGGCCTTTAAAGACAGCCTGCGATACATGCACTTTTCCTATAGCCATTTTATCAAGGATTTAGCTTCTTTTTACCTTCCCTCCAATAAAATGCCGCAAACTGTGCAATCCTATGCATATTTACTCATAGTTTATGGAAGGGACATCAAAGATCATCAATGGAAGGGGCAATGAGGATCAGCACAGCCTTGTCAGGGAAGACAGCATCTTAATTTTTTCTAAGTGTGCTAATGCAGTTATGGCATGCAGTTGTTTGCACATGAACTCTAGATATATGCCCATTGTAATGAGGGGTGGGGTCTTTATAGAGCAGGGATGGGATTCCAAGTCCTAATAGCTTCAGGGGTAAGGGATGATGGGTGCTGGAGGGACACATTTTCCTCATACTACTACTACTACTAGTACTACTACTAGTATTACTTTATTATTTATACGCTGCCCATCTGGCTGGGTTTCCCCAGCCATTCTGGGTGGCTCCCAAAAGAATATTAAAAACACGATAAAACATCAAACATTAAAAACTTTCCTAAACAGGGTTGCCTTCAGATGTCTTCTAAAAGTCGGATAGTTATATTTCCTTGACATCTGATGGGAGGGTGTTCCACAGGGCAGGCACCACTACCAAGAAAGCCGTCTGCCTGGTTCCCTGTAACCTCACTTCTCGCAGTAAGGCAACTGCCAGAAGGCCCTTGATGCTGAACCTCAATGTCCAGGCTGAATGATGGGGTAGAAACGCTACTTCAGGTATACTGGGCCGAGGCCATTTAGGGTTTAAAGGTCAGCACCAACACTTTGAGCTGTGCTCGGAAAAATACTGGGAGCCAATGTAGGTCTTTCAAGACCGGTGTTACGTGGTCTCGGCGGCTACAACCAGTCACCAGTCTAGCTGCTGCAATCTGGTTTAGTTGTAGTTTCCGGGTCAGCTTCAAAGGTAGCCCCAGGTAGAGTGCATTGCATTAGTCCAAGCAGGAGATAACCAGAGCATGCACTACTCTTGCAAGACAGTCCGTGGGCAGGTAGGGTCTCAGCCTGCATACAAGATGGAGCTGGTAGACAGCTGCCCTCGACACAGAATTGATCTGCACCTCCATGAACAGCTGTGACTCCAAAATGACTCCCAGGCTGTGCACCTGGTCCTTCAGGGGCACAGTTACCCCATTCAGGACCAGGGAGTCCTCCACAGCTGCCTGCCCAGTCCCTCTGAAACAGTACTTGTCATAGAGTATCAATATTTCAGCAACCCATTGACATAGAATGTGACTCTGTGATTCAGTGGTCCCTAGGATGGAGGCTGAATCATTCAGTGTCAGAGTCGCAGGTTTGGGCCTGATCACAGCATTATCTCCAATGGCAACAATGAACTCTTCTCCATAGAAGTGAATGACAGCCTTTCATTTATATGGGAGGTTACAAGGGAGAGGGAATCCAAGAACAAGTTAGTGAGATAGATAGGTGACGGACAAAATCCTAGCCCATTGGGGATCAATCTTTAGCCTGCTGATTTTTATGCTTAAATTCAGAACAGGGGATTGTATAGTATCATACCTGCTTATAGACAGTGTTCGAAACAAGGCTAGTTACACATTATTATTCTACATTAATATTCTCTAGAG